CTTGCTCTGAATAGCAATATGTTGCTTACTGAAATTTGTAGACATTTTCAGTGAATACTTAAAGGGAAAATAATAAAAAATAAAGAACAAAAATAAAAAGAGCATGTAAGTCATATTCAAAGGTAAGCCAAAAGCTGGGTCAAGTTCTTAGCTGTAGTTATCCAGAGAAAATCAAATGGCAACACAGAAGAATACATGAAAATATAATTCAAGTACAAACTATGGCATATTTTATTTTGCCACAATTTTTCCCCAACATTTTATCTTCTTCTCATGTGACACTGCTTCCACTAAGGCATGAGGTCTATGTTTCTTCCTATTCCTTAAAGTTTTCTTTGGCAGAAATAATATTGAGCAAGTCCAGCGTTAGTTCATACAAGGTGATGTTATGATGTTATGTGCTGACTTATAGCTGACCGGTGTGGTTTTGGAGGTCGAATATCACAGAGGATGAGATTTTTCATCTTTCTTCTACAGAAAAGTTAGTGGATTTGAACCATTTTCCCTTGGATTAGTAATCCATGAAGGCCACTAGAGTTCACAGATTCTATTTCTTTGAGATCACAAAGGGTAATGCAATTTTGCCTACTTTTCTTGAGAAGTTATTTTGTTGTTGTTTTTAATTTGGCAACCTGCTTAAAGGAAGACCACATGGGCTATGCGATGCCCTGATGAGCCCAAATTTCTACATAAGCTCCAAGACAAGAGCCAAAATTAACTCTCTAGATATTACGGCAACCATTTTTAAAGTGGTACTCAGTTTATCAGCAAAATGGCCCAACTAATAATTCTGTGTGGATCAGAGTTAAGCAGTTTTTTTCAAGTTCTGACAAAACTGCAACTTCATGAGCAAAATATTCTTGTCGTTTTAAGCCACTAAATGTTGGTGGCTTGTTATGTAGCAATCTATAGAATAAGTATCTAGTTTAACAAGTAAATATACTCCATGGGATGATGCTGTTTTGTGCCATTGAGTCGCTTGCGACTCATAGTGACCATATGTACAAGAGCCCTAAACTCCACGCTATCCTGTGCCAACCTCGCCATCTCAAACACTCATTGCCACCACTCCACTCACAGAATCGATCCATCTCATCGAGGATCTTCCTCTCCTGCGCTGTCCCTCCACTCTCCCAAACATGATGTCCCTCTCCAAGGACCAGTCCCTCCTTGCAACATGCCCAAAGTATGTCAGATGAAGCTTCAGAATCC